CTACTACTACTGCTACTACCACCGCTATACCACTACGACCACTACGACCACTACGACTACTACGACTACGACGACGACGACAACTACGACTACGACTACGACGACGACGACGACTACTACTAATTGAATTACGCCTACTGCAACTGCTGTAGCTACTGCTACAACAACAACTATATACTAATAATAATCATCATCATCATTTGATGATAATAATAATAATAGTAATAAGCAATCATCGTGAAGGGAGTCGGCCCACTGGCCTCGGTGAGCTTCGCGGCCCATGCTCCTGCGGCCAGATAGCCTCAAAACAAACTTTGGGTTTGCCCGGAGGGTTTAGCGCTTAGGGTTTAGGCTTTGAGTTGGGCGTGCCCCTAGCATTTCGCAAGCAATGCGCGCAGCCCTTAACTTGTGAAGCAATCAAGCTTGAGTATGTCAAGATACGTCAAGGCTTTAAGTTTGCATGTTGTACCTCTCGTTGACCACGTTGACCTAGGCCTGGCCTTTGTTTCGACTAGATGCAGTCGACATGCCTTGGCCAACCAAGCCTGGTGGTTCTGGAAACATCGTGCGCAGTTTGTTTGTCTAGCTCAAAGTGCCGTGCACAACCTCTCAAATGGGTTTCCAGGGAGTGTCGGCCAGGACGCTGTTCTTGCCTGGTTCCCCTGGATGCTCCGCCAAGGTTCCGGGTACAAAGTTGTAGCAACTCGGGCTAGGAAATGCTGCTCAACAAGTCTGCTTGCCACATTTCGAGCATCCTCCCTGGTTTCCCCAGTCGCTGTATCTGAGCCTCTTGGTGCTCGCTATGATGTTCATAGCAATGCCAGGCTGCTGCTCGGTCTGACTCCGAACCGTCCATGCAACAAACTTTGGTAGTCCTTTCAACCGTGCATTGCAATACCTACATGCGTCCTCTCATAAAGTGGGCGATACCTACTCTATGAGTGATCTTGTGTTCTAGCTGCCATTGTGTGAAACAGTATCCTGCAGTGGTCCCTCTGAGGGCTGTTGTCAGATGCTTCGAGCAGCAACCCGGCCTGCGCTGCTTTCAGCGGCCAGTCGCTGAGGCCCGGGTAGGTCCGGGGTTGAGGGTCTGAGTCGAGTCTTCGGAGATACAACCCTAATTTGCTTCTATGTGGCATTGCTGCATCGGCTGCACGCATGATAGGTGCTGGTCCCAACGATCGCAACGATCGGAGGGGGGGAGTGGTACGGTTTAGGGTGTTGATTATTTTGAACCTTGAGCTGGATCTCCAGCCCATGGAGTGGGAAAACAAAACTCTGGGGCGATTAAGGTATCTTGAGCATGCCAGCTACTGCTCATCAAGGGTGCTCAGTTCTAGCAAAGCTAGATACTAGTTACTAGATTACTATAGATATCATATCCTCAGAACTCTTTGAAAGCGTTGCTCGGACTCTGGGCACAGTGTGGGTTCAGGCCTCGGTTTCAGCTACGGCTTAACCGAGTTTAGTGGACTTCAGAGCACTTCAGGCATCAACCTCAGCTGCTGAAAGCAGCGCTGTCCGCTCAGCCTTTGAGCCCCTGGTCCCTACTGTTGAGGGCAGGGGAGCCGAGCATGTGCCCATAATGGCATGAGTAGCGCTGGCTCGAATTCGGAGTCTGGTCGGCGGAATGGCAGCAGCAGGCATCCGAAGAGGGCTCGCGTGGGCGTCGATGCCAAGACGCTCACAACCAGGATGCTCAGAAGGAGCCTTGAGATTGGAAACCGAAGTGCCAGTCCTTCTTACCACAACGAAACGTGATATCGGCAAACCAGGAACCAGAGGAATTTGAAAGCCTTGTCAGCGTTTCTTCCGCACAGCGGTCAGCAAGTGTGCGTAAATTCGCTCCAGGGCACGCGACGACCCACAGATGCGCCTGCGCTGCATAGCCGCCTGGACCTAAAGTTCGCTAGGAAAGTTCAAGCCGAACGGATGCAAAACCCCCCCAAATCTACAAACTGATTTGCGCAATTCTACACGCTTGATTATAGGTACTTAAACCCAATTAAGCCTTCGAGGATCCAGCCCCATAGAATCCTTAAAAATCCTCCTGAAAAACAGAAAAACCTAAATGCGCATTCGCAGTTGCAGCCACCAGAAGCACGCAGGAGATCCCAGCAACATGATGCACAAGATTGCTCAGAGGCTGGCTGGAGACAAACCTGCGCAACCTTCAACCCTCAAAGAAACAAGCTCGACAAGATGTCAACCAAGTGACAATGTGCCAACGCTAATGCTTCCAGCTGCTGATGCTTTTTCGACTACCATTCTTTCCGCTTGGTCTCGACGAGAAGGAACCCAGAATCCTAAACCCGACATGGCTTGGCCGAATGGCTGAAGCTCAGCGCTTGATGCATGAAGTTCCGGTACAAGGGCACGGCGGGATAGTGCAAGAGGTAGGGGAAGATGGTGTGCCGGCCAAGAGGTGTTATGAATGTCACCACGTCGGGGCAACAGAACACCAAGAATGTCACGATCTTTCCTGGGAGAAGCAGAGGAAAGACATGCCAGCTTATCAGCCACTCGGTACAAAACGTACTCCTCAGCTCATTGTGTGCGTTCGTTGATGCCTAGATCGTTATTGATCTCTTTTTTGCATGCTACACAAGCTCGCCAGGCCGCACATTAAACAGTAGAAACTACACTAATCCTGCCAGGGTCCAAACATCAAGAAGTATCCCAGGCAGCCGCGCAGGAGGAAGGCGATGAAGCCTCTCCTCGGCTTATGCTTCGAGGCTTCGCCATGCATTACGATTTTGGGCGGGCGTGAAGCAGGTTCTAAGGATACCGTGCTTTGACTGGGCAGTTTCCTAAAGCCGCCTAGAAGTAGCGAGGAGCAACCCAAAATTGCAGTGGGTTGCAGGCCCTGCGTGGTCAATCAAGGCACCCCGCCATATCTAATCCGATCTGGGCAGATGTGCCCTCGTGAACCACGTGAACTACGATCTCTTTTTGGCGAAATATATTGTGCTTGGGCTCGGATGCCTTGAAAACTGGGGATCATGTCCACTCTTTGCCGTGGAGATGACGGCTGGTTCTAGACTTACTGTGTGACTTGCTGTGCCCGCCATGAGGACAATCATATCCACACAGGTCGCAGAAACCACTGTACAAAGCCAGAGTTTTAATGACAACAGCCGAAACAGCAGTAATGGGTACACTCAGAAAACGAACAGTACAGGTACAAGGTTCGGGCCAGAGTTGTCGTAGTCGAGCTCCTGCATGGCCCATGGGATGCAACCGCCGGAGAAGGGAAAGTGCTGTGTCCATCCAAGCCTCATCCAATTGACACGAAAGTTACGACAGGATTCTACAGGGCCTCAATCTAGAGATCCTTTGTGGGAGGTCCTTCTTTGGAGGGGCGGGAGGGGCGGGGGGTGGCTGTCGCGGTAGCACAGGGCTCCAATAAATTTCTGCGTGGAAACACTCGTATACTGTTTTGCCATCTCCTTTGCCGGCTTGCTCAATTAAGTGACCACCAATTACACTGGCGCTGGCGTGACTGCTCTGCTCTGGGTGCATCGGTGGGAGGACTCAGGGGAAGAATGCCAGGGATTGTCTCGTGGGCAGAGATTGGGCTTTCGTAAACAGTATACAGCAAAAATGCTCACGTGTTGTATTTCCCACTCTCTCTCTATGTGCGTGTATATGCATGTATACATGTAAACAAATAAATATAAATAAACAAATAAGGGCCCGAGTCCCCAGCAACAGCGCTGGTATCTCAGGGCCCCAGTACCCCAGCAATGGCCTGCGGGAAGGGGTACGCCAGAAAGACTCCCGACACCTTCCACAGTGTGCGGGGCTTGACCATCATGATGAACGCTGGCAACTTCAGATACAACAAGTACAATAGCACCAGTCATAGCGAGCAGTATGAGCATGACGAGGAGAACCACATGATTGGTTTCTGTTTCCGTGGCTGCGCCCGCTACACTTACCCAGTCTTTGAGTCCAAGGAGTCCAAGACCCGAACGGCGCCGGAGGAGCTCGTAAAGACTACTAGGACACCCCAGTGCCGCCTTTGGGCAGGGAGATGCCGGCCGACATGGCCAAGATCCCCGCCTAGACCGATGGTAAGTTTAAGCGCTGCTGGTACCACAGAGAGGCCCCACAAGTTCGAGGCCATCGACTCCCTCGACAACGAGTACCTCGCTTGTGTCTACGAGACCGTAAAGGAGGCCGAGAAAGCTTTCGCCGAGTGGAACAAAGATTGCCCCCTGAGTAGTTGCACTGCTGCAGCACTGTAAATTGTGATGTTTGATGCGCTGTAGCTGCAGTGCGTTTTGGCTTTGTCCATGCAAGAGACGGTTTTTGCCTTTGGGCGCCGGTTCAATCTCTTGTCTGTTGTTTATTCCCTATAGGGTTGGGGGCTGTGTAATGCGGGGCATGCTGCGGAACACAGCTTTCCCATTTCATGTCGTGATTGCTCACGCGAGCGTCAGCGCTCAAATGCAGCTGGTTGCAGCGGGTGCTCTTTGGTGAGCGGGATTGTGTAGACACCTCACTGCATTTTCTCGTGATGTATGCAGTGCTCTCAAGTGCGAATTGCTGCAGCACTATCGATATCAACTCCGGAATACCTGAACAGGATCGCCGGTGTGTGTACATGGTTCTGAAGTCCATTCTTGTATAGTGCCAATGATTTGGACAGCGTTGTCGTTTGCGCTAGGCCCCGTTTGTGCACACGCTGTCACTGCACTTTCCAGGCGGCCTAGTGTGAGGGTCCCACGGAGAAGGATGGCCTGCTCGGGACCCGCTTCGCAGGAATATCTTCTCCGTTCGATGCATTTCATGGTCATGTAAATAGTGTTGCTCCCCTGAAAGCGCTTGTACAGCACTGCTCTGGGGATTTGAGGTTGAACATGGAGTTGGCTCTAGGTGCAAACGCTGAACAGCCCCAGTTTTTCTTGCATCAGCGCTCCTGTTCTTTGGGGGGCCACCGCCCAGTCAGGTGGCGCAAGCTATGCATGCAGAATTTACAGTTTTGGGACGCGCCCTAACGAGGGCTCTACGGTCCGCAGACAATAAACAAATAAATAAACATATATATATATAATTATTTAGATGTATGTGTATATATATACATATATATATATATATCTGTGTGTGTGTGTGCATGCGCGTATATATGCAGGCACGCGTGCATGTCTGCAAACAGCTATCCAACCATATATCCGTCTGTATATCTATCCGTCGGTCTGTCTGTCTGTCTTTCTGCCCGCTGTCTGCCTGTCTATTCCTAGCAGAACCGCAAACTCTGAGCCAGGCAGCTGCACAATCGCCCCGTGCAGGCCAAGGAAAGCGAGCACTCCCAAGCAGCATGACGCAGGAGACCTCCGAAGCTTAACATAGAGGTCTTCATACTTTAAGGAACAAGGGAGCCCGAGGGATGCACCGTTATGGAGGGCCCTATGTTAGGATTTTAGTTGGCTTGAGGTTTTTTGGGGTGAGAGTCTTGGAATGTAGGGCTCACGCTCTCGCAACTCGGTCACTGCCAGACGAGGTCTCATGAGTCGGCACAGCACTACAAGTTGAAATCCAAGTGCTGTCCGCTATCGACGGTGGTGCTACAGGTTGTTGCGGTTCAGGCACAGGGTGCCAGTTTCGGACCGGTCTCTTGCTCCCTCTCCCACATGACATCCCTGGGAGTCTTTCTGAGGAGGACAAAGGATACAAAGCGGCCTGGACGCGACTTCCACGACCTCGACCCTGGCAACAGCAAATAGTTGAGAGAGACACTGCAAGGAGCGATCGAGAGATAGTCTCGGAAGCACCTAGATGCTCCAGCCACGTCTGGAAGTGAGGCTAAGAGAGGCACTCTCTCGAGGAGCTGCCGAAAGACGGACTCTTGCTTCTTGGGCTCGGTTTAAAGATGTTGGCCTTGGGACGCCGGGCTGTTACGGGCCCACGAAAGCAGACATCTCGTCGCTCAAAACCCGAAGCCCTGTAAGTTTTAAACCCTAAATCCTAAACTCTAACCCCTAAACCTATTTAAAACCCGCTGAGCCTGATAAGCTTGTAGTTCTTGTCGAGCTCGGGCCAAAATCGACCACACCTCGGAGCGAAGAGCTCTGCTGAGGTCCTAAGCCTGTGAGGGCCAGGGTTCTGGTGTTTTTGGGCGAAAAAGGGTTTTGGGGCTTCGGACCATGGGCGTGTAAGGCTTAGTTCCGTGCCTGTCGCTGTTCAGGAGTTCCGGGTCCCCCAGGTCTGAGGTGCGATAGGCAAGGCTGAAGCCAGAGTCTCTGGGCCGAAAAAGCAGCAACGGGTCTTCAGACCAGGGCCATGCCATTTTGTCTTTGGCATCATGACAACCCCAATCGTGGATGCATCTTGGGCTTGAGGGTTCGTCGCACTCTACTAACTGTGATTCGAGTGGGCTCCTGCGCGGATGAAGATTCGGCCTGTCTTCGCAAATTGCTCGCATGCGACTCGAATTGTAAGCCTCCAGCCAACCTTTTTTTGTGGAACCTAGTAAGGAGGAGGCAGGGATAGGCATGCTCAAGTCCAAAGAGCAACTCTCCTGCAACATAGTATGGCCAGCAAGCCAAGGATTCGGTCACCTGCCAGGGACACAGGCAGATACAGCACAAAAGACTGGGACATACGCATGCAGTTGGATGCTTTCCAGCGTCACGGGCATGGTATGTAGCAGTTGCGAGGAATGCGTGCTAAAGCGTCACGCCGACTCTAAGTCGCATAGACTGGCGGTTACAGTACCAAGGTTGCTGCGCTTTCCGGAATGTTCCAGCAAATGCTGCCAGCCCGACTTGAACTTGCGTTGGTCTGCGAAGTCTGCAACTGGATGTGCTGATGCTTTTGGTGCATTGCATGTCTGCTTTAGCAGGATCCCAACAAAGCCTGAAATTCATGTGTGCAAGCAAGCTGCGCTCAGGCATGGTGAGTAGTAGTATGTGGCCAGAGCTGCGACAACGAGGGAGACAGCGATGCGTTGAAACGCGCTCTCCTGAGGTTCGGTGATGTTTGATTGGGGCATGTTCGACTTCCTCGTGTCCCTTCGGCATGGGGATCAGAGCTCGGCAGCTGCTCGGCTTTAGGAAGCTTTCAAGTTAACGTCTGGGGTTTGGGTCCTGGGTTCTGGCAGGGCTTCCTGGGTCGAAGATCTTGAATCTGCTGGAGATGTGGGTAAACGCCTTATGCATGCCCGGAGAAATGCTGCTTGCCCCGGCAATGCAAGGAAGTGTCTGTGGTAGCGATCCTACGAGCTTCCGAAGGTAGAGCCCGCACAAATGGAACCTGCATGACAACATAAAATCCTTGCCACAGGGGCTCCTGATCTCGGAAGCCTTGACAGTAACCCAACCCGACACTTTTCGGAAATACTGGCAGAATCTTCGGAGGATGATGGGTTCCTACTCCGGTCTCTTAAAAGAAACCCGGATCCTGTGCAAAAGGACTTGCACACCGCGACCCGTGGTATAGCGGTTTAGGCGGGGTGCCGAAGATTAGCTGCCAAGATTTCAACACTCGACCAAAGAGCCCTGCAGAACGCGGCGCCCTCAACACTTTCAAGCTTTGAAGCAGAATTCCTACGAATGCTGCTCCGACAAATTTTGCACAACAGTACATCGACAACAGCAGAAGCCCTAATTCCAGTCCAGAAAGCACAAAACTGACCAGGCAAGGTGCAAACTGCTCCAGCGACCAGCTGAGCAGGCGCCACCACAGCAGCCTCTGAGCATCTGCTACCCGAGAGACTCTAAGACCCCTTAAGGGCGTAGGGTCCCAGAGGCCTTCATGGTGTCATGGGGTTTTGGGTTCAAGGGTTTCATCGGGTTTAGGGTAGGGTTTAGGGTTTGGGGACAGCCAGGAAAGCGAAAAGCCTAAACTGCGACAAGCCTGCACATATAGCCACCCACAGCCTTCACAGATAATCACCCAGAGCTCCAAACCTAACAGCGTGCTTTTATTGGGCTTGGGCCTAATTTGGCCTGGGGTGCGAGGTCTACGCCTAGGTTTGAAGAAGTTTACAGTATACACTGCTAGACAAGTACGCACTTCTCCAACAGTCACCAAAATCCTTTTTCCAGACAATCAGGTAGCACCAACACACCCTAGTGGAGCAACAGTGTGGAGTTTCGCAGGATTGGCACTCTTTTTCAGGAACGGCTCTCCGCGAATAGTAAAACATCTCCCCGAGCCGAGCTCGGAGCCCTGCAACCCTTATAGCATCCCTCATAGGATCTTCTAGTAACCCTTACAG